AAAATTTTTCTTTTTAGTATTTTGTGATGTTCATTTTCTGATATTGCCATTCTTTCTTTGTAATTTATAATCTACTTTGCAAACTCACCCTCTAGTGTTTAAGTGTAAAGCTTCCGCAGATTTTTATAAGAGCGCACTCTATTCTTAAGGGTCACAATCCTACACTTGGTATACATAAGTAAAATCAGACCCTACATTTAGTATCAGAGCAAGGTGAAAGATGGCATCTATAAATACATCACAATTCAAAGAAGGTCACTCTACAAATCGTCCACCAATGTTCGATGGATTGAACTATAACTATTGGAAGTGCCGAATGAAGATTTATTTTCAATCAATTAGCTACGAACTTTAGAGCATTCTGGAAACAAAATATGAGAAGCTAACCACTCCTTTCATGGAATGGACTACATCTCAAAGGAACAATGCAAACTTGGATTCTATAGCAATGAATGTCTTATTTTGTGCTCTTGACAATAATGAGTTCAATAAGGTGTCAACGGCCACATCCGCATATGATATTTGGCACACACTCGAGGTAACTTATGAAGGTACAAGTAATGTTAAAGATACTAATAATAATTTCATTTGTTATGGTTGCAATAAGCCAGGACATATGAAGAATGATTGTCACCTTCTAAAATCAATGTCAAAGTCTACAAAATTCAACAAGAAAAGGAAGGCTTTGGCGGCTACATGGGATGATAGTGATGATTCGTCTTCGGATGAAGAAATTGAAGAAAAGGAAAGCGCTCATATGTGTTTTATGACACAAGATGAAGGGGAGTAAAAGATTTTATTTAATGATTTTATGCAGGGGGATTAAATTTTTTATATCTTAATAACATATATTTGTCATCATCAAAAAGGGGGAGAATGTTAGGAATCTTGACCTCAAGATTAGTTTATTTTGATGATAACAAATATTATATGTTATGTGTATTATGTGCTAATATTTGTTTTACAGTATCAGAGCTATATCAACAATTATATTCAAAAAGATACTCAAGACATAGATGAGTTAAAGGCAAAATAAAGCAAAGAAGAAGATATACTTTATTGTCTAAATGTAATTTTATATTTTCTTTGCTTAGAAATTTGTACAAGCCTTGATCACTCACACACATGCACACACATAGTGTTAGAACACACTAACACATACTTAGTGTGTTGGTTAACAATAGAAATCACACATGCACACACATAGTGTTAGAACACACTAACACATACTTAGTGTGTTGGTTAACAATAGAAATCCCTTATGTTAGCCATTAGAGTTTATAGATATTGAGTGAGTCTTAAAACATTTCATTTACACCACTTAACAATTAGAATCTGAAAAAAAACTCAAAAATTTAAAGTTGTATGTCTCTTTAAGAGTTTTCTAACCAATCTTAAATCACCTCATTCCGATATCGGATGAGAAAGTTACAGTCAAAATACTAAAAAGAAAATATAAAATTACATTTAGACAATAAAGTATATCTTCTTCTTTGCTTTATTTTGCCTTGAACTCATCTATGTCTTGAGTATCTCTTTGAATATAATTGTTGATATAGCTCTGATATTGCAAAATAAATATTAGCACATAATACACACAACATATAATATTTGTTATCATCAAAACAAACTAATCTTGGGGTCAAGATTCCTAACATTCTCCCCCTTTTTGATGATGACAAATATATGTTATTAAGATATAAAAATTTTAATCCCCCTGCATAAAATCATTAAATAAAATCTTTTACTCCCCCTGCATCAAAGCATTAGTAAAAAATTTAAAATTAAAATTTTCTATATAACTCCCCCTTTTCGCTTGCATACTTGATTCACCTGCACTAGTCAAGCCTAGCGATTGGCAAGTTCGCCAAACCCACTAGGACATCTGGCAGCCATAATGTCACGTACATGGATGGGCTTTCTCGCTCCCGCGATGTGAAGGAGAGAGGGTATAGTGCTTCGAGCCCCTTAAACGGCTGCTCATAGTACAAGTGAGAAGCATGGTATCTCCCAAATAGTACGTGGTCATATCCCATGATTCTAGGAGTGACCATGCCATCTCTCTTCTATTTAAGAACCTCTCCTGGCTACAGAAAGGAGGTTCGGTTGGCTCATAGTCAATTGATTAATTCAATCAGTTAGCTGAACCACAGCTCTCAACTCTCGACGGAGTTGATGACAAGCTCTTTGCATGATCTTTGCACTGTAGCATCCTCTCCTAGCTTCGGGCCCTGATCGCCATCGAACTCGGAAACTCAAACTCGACTAGCACAAGCTCCTACTACGTACTGAAGCTCACCAACGACCTCGGTTGAATCGTCCAAGGGAAGCAGACTCGGTGCAAGAATCGAGCGAGGCGTCCTATCGCTGCTAAAGTCCCCATGTTAAACAAGGAGGGTCTTCCCTCCACTTCTGTTATAATTTCGATTCATTAGTTTGTAATAAGCTATTCTTATCAATACAAACGAAATCCTTGTTTCGGGAGATCAAAATTTACACCTACACTTATGCTCTTCAACATTGCAGTTGATGTCCTGTCTAAAATGATTATGAATAATGTGGAGGAAGGTTTGCTATCAAATCTGAACATTAAGGAACCCCTAAACCAAATTCGGAGCCTTTAGTTTGCGGATGATACGTTGCTCTTTGTTAAAAGCTCACCAAGAGACATAAACATCCTCAAAATAGTTCTATACATCTTTGAAGAATTGTTTGGTTTGGGAATTAATTATTCTAAATCCACTCTTATCTACATTGGAAAAATTCCTATCAAGCGTCAAAATCTAGCTTCTGCTCTTGATTGTAAATTGGATTATCTTCCTATCAAGTATCTGGGATTACCTCTGAAATATGATACTCTTTCTAAGTCTGATTGGCAACCAATTCTGGACAATCTACACAAACATAGCTTCTTGAAAAAACAATTGTCTATCTTTTGGTGGAAGGCTCGTTTTACTAAATTCAGTGCTTACCACAATACCTCTATACTTCATGTCATTCTACAAGGTTCCACAATGGTTAATCAATGAAGTAGACAAAATTCGAAGAAACTTCCTTTGGTCTAGTAAAGCAGAGGCCAACTCTTTCAAATGTCTGGTTAATTGGAAAAATATATGTCTAAGCAAATCTGAAGGTGGTTTGGGAGTTAAGGATATTAAGATCTTCAATATATCCTTACTGTCTAAATGATTATGGAAATGTTTGGACAGAGAATCATTAGTAGGCACCTTCCTCCGTCAATTGTACTTTAAAAGAGGTGAAATGCTACAAACCAAACTCAGTAATGCATCCCATTCTCCCTTTTGGAATGTGATCCTCTCCATCAAAAATGCCTTTTTTTCATAATATATCTTGGACACTTGGTAAATGTGATAAGATAAGATTTTGAGAAGACAAATGACTTAGTTGCAACACTTTAACTAGTCTCTTTCCTTCATTATATGAGCTTTCATTCTCTTCAAATGTTTCCATACATAGCCAAGGCATTCTACATGATCATCAATGGCACTGGCAACCCTTGTTAAAAAGAAGCATTTCCTCTATTTCTTTATCCTCTAAAATAGATCTCTTGAAGTTAATTGGTTCCAGAAGTATCTCATATATACTAGATAAACCACACTGGTCTCTTACAGCAAATGGAGTTTACTCAGTCAAGTCATTATATACCTTCTTAAATTCCAATGGAATATTATCTCCAAACTTTAAGCTTACTTGGAATTCAATTCTCTCAAGCAAAGTTTGGATCTTTACTTGGTTATTGTCTTTAGATAGACTGCATACCAAAGATAACCTCACTGCCAAAGGTTGAACAAAAGAAACATGTACATTGTGTGGATTGTACTCAGAAACAAGAGATTACCTTTTCTTCTCTTGCTCTTTAACAATTGAAGTATGGAGACACTTCAGCGATTATTATCTCCCCTTTCATTGGCCTACATCTCCGGACAAGTTACTTCAAACTCTAGAGAAACTGAATAGCATCAAAGGTAGCTTATGGCGTACCATTTTCTCATCAGTTTGCTGGACCTTATGGCTTTCAAGAAATAAGTTCATGTTTGATAAAACAAGTTTCTCCTGCTCTACTTTTATTAACTATGCCAATTCTGGATTAATTGATTGGTTAGGTGTTAGTAGTGGGTCAAATGTGCAGCGTGTATCAGCAATTCTAGAGGAAAAACTTATACCCATGAGCAGTGTCTAAGAGGGTTGTGGACTTTTGGGAGCATGATAAAAGTTATGCAAGTTTTACCAGTCTTGTATAAACAACAGATACTTAGTCTTATGTTTTATCTCTTGTGTGTTAGATAATAGAACATCTAGTTTCTATCAACTATATGTATAGCTGGTTTTTGTTCTTCCTTATATCTATGTTTACGATGAATGACGGCAATGTCCACTCTTCATCTTCATGGATCACTGGAAGAAGAAGGTTATGCATCTCTAGTTTTAGAAACTTTATTTTCCATCTTCTAACAATCGGATACAGTTCGTATCTTAATTTTGTAACTACATAATGTGTACTTTTTTTGGTTTTTTAATGAACAGGGTATATCCCTTGTTTTTCTCTCAAAAAATTGATTACAATTAGCATATGATGATTAACTCCATATCTCCAAATTAAGTCATTCACTCTTCATTAATATTATTTATTCTATACTGATAGTTTTATACTTAGGTCAGACTAGTTAATTTTTTTTAAAAATTTATTTGATTTTTCAACAAACAACTATTAACTCCTAATAATAAGTAATGATTGCAGATATAATTAAAAAACTTTTATATTCAACATAAGCGTAATCCTGGCATTTGAAAAAAAATGAAGGAAATAACCTACCTAACATCTATTTATTTGCCAAAGGCATGCAAAGGAGCTAGTATGTCATTTTAACTACATAATCTAAAAGGTGTTTGAATTATTTTAACCCTCTCCTAATAGATTAACTATAAGTTATCCCTCCTCTTCTGACATTCTCTCTTGGCCCTTGCCGACGGACGCCTACTAAGAGAGTGAAATGCACCTGAATATGGAGGTAAGAATCAAATTAATTCAAAAAGTTAAAATTTGGTAAGTATTAATTCATTTTTTTACTCTTTTCTAATTATGAGACTATTCTCACCTGCGTATGAATTCCCAATACCTATTACGTCAAGAGTTGGGTGGAACTCACGAGAGAGAAGTGCCTTTTATTATATATATATGTGTACAAAAGCGTGTGTAGGAGACTAACATTATTCAACCCTCACATAATACTAACTACTCCAACAACAACGGAAGCTAACAACGAGAAAATTACCCAAACTTCATATGAAGTGAAGAAAAAAGTTCAGCCATGGGAGGAGAAGAAGCCATTCCTTTTCTTGGAGATCACCGCAAAGATTCAGATGAGCAGCACACCGAGAGAACTGGTAAGCACCCTTTTTCTTTACTAATGCTAATCCCAAATTATTATTATTATTACTAGTATTATTACTATATATTCTCATAAATTATTAAAATTATCAAACCCATGAAAGTGTTTCTCTGATCATACAATTTATCAAGGATAAGGTTTCCTCTTATCTTCATTCAGTGATCCATGTCCACTGACTGTCCGTTAATTAAGGATCCCACGGGTGTTTTCTTTTGTTTTTCTCTTTGTGGCCATCCAGGATTCCTTGTATTAGATTAAGCACATATGCCCCTCTGAAGATCTTAATTTGCACAAAATGTACTTTTAGATTAATTAAAAACATTTCTGAATTTTTTTTAAATAAAATTTTCCTATCTAATTTCCCTCCTGAAAGGAACAAATTGGGAGCTATCTAGGTTCCGAAAATTTCCTTGCAGCAAACTGAAAAATTGGGAAGAGGGGTCAAGTAGCTTATGATGTTTTGAAGGTGTATTTATTTAGCAAACTAAAAGTTGTTAAAATGAAAAGAAAAAAAATTTATTACACTCCCCTAATTTTAATAAACTCGTCATCGTTGAGATCAAATACCTCTCTAAGGAATCGCCATTTCCGTATTTTACAAGGTTTATATATCCTTTTATTGAAGAAAGAATTATTCATGGATCGATGAATATATCCGCAATCAATTATATATGTTGTTTATTTATCGTATATTTTGGTAAATACAGGAACAATTTGGACTGCAATTGCCCACATAATAACAGCAGTGATAGGATCGGGTGTTTTGTCTCTAGCGTGGAGCGTGGCTCAGCTCGGTTGGATTGCTGGTCCCATAGCTCTGCTCTCATTTGCAGCAATTACGGTCGTACAAGCTACTCTGCTTGCTGATTGTTACAGGTCTCCTGATCCTGAGCTTGGCCACATCAGAAATCTATCCTACATTGATGCTGTGAAACAAAACTTAAGTAAGCAATTTGTGACCTCTTACTTTTTTTTTGACTTCACATTTTTTTTTTAAATTAATTAATCTATGTAGTTTATTTATTTATTTTTACCCGTAGAGAGTATCCTCATGTCTTTCTCTAGGACACGTGAAACACATTCTTACAAGTTATTTGATGTAGATAAACCTAATTAGTATTTCTAATCAAATTTATGTATATGTAGGTTAGGAATAAATGAGTAAGAGTAAAAAAAACAGTTTTTTGGATTTTCTACAAAATTAAAGATTGTTTTCTGTAGACCAAATATTTCAGAGACTTTAGATCACTGTATTTATTTTAAAGCTTTTGGATTTCCCTATCATAAATTAAAAAAGTATATATTTCAAAACCAACCACGTTACGCAATTTCGTGGTCATCTTATCCACCTGTTTTTTTTTTCTTCTAAATTAACTAATGACTTTGATAAGTACAGCTCTACAATCGCGGTGAGATGAACGGTGAGACTAGCTCTATGTATTTATTTATTTAAACATTAGAATTTTGACGTGGGCGTTAAGCATAAAACCGAGCTGAGAGCATCATTTCGGTCATTGTCGATTGAGATTACTGCAACATAATTAATTGGAGACGTGTAACCACGCGGAGAGGAGGCGCTCCTCAAATTTGGTTTTTGCTCGATTGGGACGGTGACGGGTCCCTATATATTTAGATCCTTTGCGGCTTTGCCTACTTTGACAATCGAGGTGTCACGGTCATTAGTCCCGCTTATTTTGTGGTGCGTGGATTGTACACTGAACATTATTATTATTGTTTTAGGGTCAATTACGGGTACACCCCTTTACTGTGCCTTCAGTTTTATTTTGGCAAAGGTTTTTTAATATATTAGCCCCGTAAATCATAAGTAATTTGATATCAGCCCCTTAAATTTCCATGTTTTGGTATAAGCCCCTCAGGCGACTGTCATGTGTTAATATGAGGGGTTCATATCAACACATCATGGCTATTTGAGGTGCTAATATCAAAATATGAACATAACCATAACGGTTCATATCAACATATTATGGCTATTTGAGGGACTAATATCAAAATATGAACATTTAAGGGGCTGACATCAAATTACTTATTATTTAAGGGGCTAATATCTAAAAAAATCCCCTTTGTAAATTATTACTATATATACTAAAACTATAGGAGGTTGTACTGTAGCTTCCCATTGTTTATCCTACACTGCAACCCTCTTATTAGTATTTTAGAATTGTAAATGTTCTTTCTTAACTAAAACCCAAGGCCTTGCTCCATTTAGTTCAGGACCCATCCTCCTTCAAAGTGTTTTTTTACCTATAAACCCAAAGTTTCCTACTACATTACTAAAACAATTGATCCTTAATTCTACTGTCCTTATTGTAGAAATCTACATTTTAGCTTCTAGGTAATTCTGATACTGTGGAGATAAAAAGATAATCCCAGAGATTTTAGGAGTGTATTTTAAACTGACTTCATGACCCATGGGTTACCTATTAACACTACGAGCATGTGGGCTTCACTAAACTTGAGTGGTATTAAATTGGGTCAGCATAAAATTGGATGAATGTTGGAAAAAAGAGGAAAGGTGTTCAAGTTGTTCCGCTGGAGCATTTTTGACACTTTGCTACCCTGACGTATATATATTTTTTAACTTTCATACCTTAAAGATTCCATTTTTTTCATTTTGGTACCCTAATATTTTAACATTTTCTAACTCTAATACCCTAAAGTTTAAGAAAAAGTTTAATGTATCAAAGTGTCAAAAAAACTTTGGGTATGAAAGTTAACAAGATATAAACTTTGTCTTAACAAAAGTGTCAAGAAAAAACTTTGAGGTATCAAAATTAAAACGGTGTGAACTTTAGGGTATCTAATTGCTAAAAAACTTGGTATTAAGGTTAAAAGATGTAAACGTTAGATTACTAGAGTGTAAATAATCTTTTTTTAGCAAGATGGGTTTTAAGATAGATATCATAACTAAGAGTTAATTTTAGAATTTGAGAGGCTAATAAGCGATTATTGAGATTTGAGAGAACAAATATGGAATTATTGAAATTGTGAGGGACTAATTTTCAAAATATTTCTTTCTAATCAAATGAGCCTTTTTTCCTGTTCTACATATATACTAATTTGTGTACGCGATGACTGCCAAGTCATTAGTATCGTACAAATACTTGAGCTAGATTTTTCTAAATAAAAATGAGTCTTTCTTTTCTAGCTTTCTCCACACTAATATGCTTGAAATATTATTTTTTTGGCTTTATCTACAATATAACTATCAAAGGCATTAGAATTATCCTAATACTTAAATCGTTATTTTTTTAAAATTTTCCTGCACTAATTTACTCATGATAAAAAACCAAAAAATATTTTTGTTGACAAACTATTTTTTTTAATGAAAAGCAATTTTCTAAGTAAAGTACTTAACCATTATTTTTCGATTTCATCACACAAATACCGTGGCAACGCACGGGTCAATTTTGCTTGTAATCATCTATAGTAATTTTCTTTTACTCTTTTATCATCAAAGGATTTATTTGTCAAAAAGTAATTATCTTTTTCTCTTATCAAGATAAAAGAGTTGAAAGAATTTTCTTTAGAGGATCTATTTGCAAAAATTAAACTAGAAGGGTCAGGGGCGTTTTATCCCCAACTAACCACTTTTTATTTTATTTCATTTTTATCAAAGAAGGCGTCCTTTTGAGTATCCATCTTAGCTTTTGAAAACACAACATTCTTTTTCATTGCATATGTTAGTTAATTATGAGAGAAAACGCTTTTGGGATGTCAGCATTAAAATTTATTAAAAAAACATCAATACCATTACTTATGATAAAGTAAGAGAGAGAGAATCTTGGGTAAATTCCTCTTGAGTTGAATATTGAGTGTACACATATATTTATACAAGCAGAGGAGGGTGAGGTGTGTTCTCATAATCAATGTGGGACTAAAACCCACTGAAATACACTATTATCAACAGTCCCCCTCAAACTCATGTTGGATCAAACAAAGTAAGTTTGGGTACAAGAAACTAGAAACGGTGAACAGGTAAGACCTTTGTGAAGAAATCTGCAAGCTCGTCAGCGGATGAGGCATGAAGAAGTAGAATTGTCTTTGTCCTTGATAACTTGTTGACGGACAAAATGAGCATCGATCTCAATATGTTTGGTCCTCTCATGAAATACTGGATTATTAGCAATCTGGATAACACTCTTATTATCATAATAGAGAGGAGTAAGAGTCGTAACAGAAATACCAAAATCACTGAGAAGACAACGAAGATGAATAATCTCTTTAGCTGTTGTGGACATTGCATGATACTCTGCCTCGGTGCTGGAAAGAGCAATAACATCTTGTTTATTACTTCGTCAGGAAATTAGAGAATCACCAAGAAATATACAATAACCCATGGTAGACTTCCTGGTAGTGGGATCACCAGCCCAATCAGCATCAGAATATGCACAAAGCTCTAACTTGGATGTAGCAGGAAATAAAAGAGAGTGAGTGCTAGTACCTCGGAGATACCGAAAAATTCGTAATAAAATATCATAGTGTACAGAATGTGGGGCACTAACAAATTGATTGATAATACCAACAACATGAGAGATATCTGGTCGAGAGATGCACAGATAGACCAATTGGCCAACAAGATGTCGATATCGGGTAGGATCAGATAGAGGCTCACCATTAGTAGAGTGAAATTTGACATTCTGTTGGAGTGGAGTATCGACAGTTGCATCGTCAGTTAGCTCAGCTCGATCTATAATATCCGAGAGATACTTCTGTTAAGACAGTAGTACACCATGCGGGCCATGAGAAATTTTTAGACCAAGAAAATACCGAATAGATCCAAGATCCTTCATGTGGAACTGTTGTTACAACTGAGATTTTACGTACTGTATACCAGCCATATCGTCACCTGTAATGATCATATCATCTACATAGATAAGTAATAAAACTCTGCCACGTGATGTAGTTCGAACAAACAGAGAAGTATCTTGATGACTTTTCATAAAGTCCGCCTTGAGCACGACATCACGAAAATACTCAAACCAAGCGCAGGGTGCCTGCTTGAGACTATAAACAGCACGACGAAGGAGACATACATGTCCCGTAGGAATATTGAACCCCGGAGACGGTTGCATATATACTATCTCAGATAAAGAGCCATAGAGAAAAGTATTTTTGACATCCATCTGGTATAAGGGCCAACGATGAGCAGCAGCGACCGCAAGAAGAGTAGGAACGATAGGCATCTGAGCAACAGGAGCAAAAGTCTCCTCATAATCAATACATTGTTGCTTAGTAAAACCTCGAGCCACTAAACGAGCTTTCCGACATTCAATGGTGCCATCAGGACGATATTTGACATTATAAACCCATTTACTATCAACTAAAGAGATGCCAGGGGGACAGTGAATAACATCCCAGGTATGTGTTTGCTGAAAGGCCTGAAATTCCTCAACCATAGCTTGTCGTCACTCTGAAAATTGAATGGCCTCTTGAAAGGACTTTGGCTCAATTGCAGTATGAATGACAGCAAGAAAATTATGAAAGATAGATGAATAGGACGTAACTGAAGCATACCGTGCAGGCATGACATGTGAGTGTTTGTCTCGATGAAGAGTAAGAGGAACCTCAGGCGGGGGAGATGCTGGCGCAGGTGCATGGAGATCAACAGTATTTTCTAGAATGAGTGTCGTGTCTACGAGATATGGATCAGATGGTGAAAAAAAGCTCGGGTGAGGGAGATTCAACGGAAGGAGATGAAGAGATTTGAGGGAGATCTCGAAAGGAGAATTGAGGTAAGGAAGTGGGTGATGTAGCTGGTGGAGAAGAATGATCAGTAGTGTGGAGGAAATTGAAATCATCGGAAGCAGAATAAAATGGAGAATCCTCTTCGAACTGAACATGTCGAGATATATGAACTCGACGAGATGCGAGATCATAATAACGATAACCTCGATGTTCCGAACTAATTCCTAAATAGATACAGAGAACAGCTCTAGGAGATAATTTACCACGTTCGTGAGATGGCAGAAGAACGAAACAACGATAACCAAAAACGCGGACCAGATCATAACGAGGAGGATGAGTATAAACACGACTATGAGGAATAGCACTGGAAAGAGAGCTAGATGGAGTGATATTAATGACATGAGTAGCAGTAAGAATGGCCTCAGACCAGAAACGACGAGGAACAAAGTAAGAAATGAGCATGGATCGAGAGGTATCGAAAACATGACGATGTTTGCATTCAACAATACCATTTTGCTCATGAGTGTAGGGACATGACTGTTGAAAGATAGTCCCATGAGACGACATGATAGAGCGCATGATAGATGATAGGTATTCTTTGGCACAGTCAGAACGAAAAACTTTAACACGAGCTTGTCATTGAGTGAAGATCATCGCAGTGAATGCTTGATAAGCCGCAAGTATGTCAGAGCGATTTTTAAGTAGGTAGACCCATGTATAACGAGAAAATCATCGATAAAACTAACATAATATAAGTAGCCAGATAAAGAAGGCAGAGGAGTTGACCCCCAGATATCAGAATGGACCAAATCAAATAAGGAAGTGAAAATAGATGTACTGGTTAGAAACGGTAGAGCAGTAAATTTAGCCAATTTACAACCAGTACATGACTCAATATGAGAACGAGAGGATACGAGACCAAGTACTCCAGACTGGATAAGACTTTCTAGCCTTTTATGAAACACATGACCAAGTTGTCTATGCCATAAATCTGCGAAAAGTAAGATAGATGATTTTGGACTTACAGAAGCAATAAAAGAACGTGGACGTATGGATCTGTAAGGTCAAGATATTTCAGAAAATACAGTTTGTGTCTCCTCCGACCGGCCCCAACAGTCTTGCCCGTCTATGGATCCTGCATAATACAAGTATCAGAAGAAAATAAGACAAGTAGGCCATTCATACATAAGGAGCTAACATAAATTAAATTCAAACGCAACTGAGGAGCCACATAGACAGGGCCAAGAGTTAGACGACCAGATGGGTCAATTTGCGGAGTGATAGAGCCATACTGAGTGATAGACAAAGATTGTCCAGCAACCGTATAGATAGGGGAAAGAGAAGAGAAAGTGAAGACAGAAGATAAGAGGGAGGCATTACGAGTCATATGAAAGGAACAGCCAGAGTCAAAAATCCAGAGATCATTCATATCAAAGACCAAAGGGTAAGCTGAGGAATCAACAAGAGGCATACCGGAGAGTTATGTAGTAGATGTAGAGGCTTTATGCTGAAGAGCATCAATTTGATGACGAATATTAGAGAGTTGTGCAGCAGATGGAGAGGTGGTATGCTGAAGAGTCGTAATTTGACGGCTAATATTTGCAATAACTTGAAGAGCCTCAATTTGGCGACGAATATCAGAGAGTTTTGTAGCAGATGGAGAGGTTGCATGCTGAAGAGCCGCAATTTGACGACTAATATCTGCAATAGCTTTAATGGTAGGGTCTGAAGTGGTAGATCGCATAACATTGATCGGTAATCCTGGTGCACTAAAGGATCGGGATTGAGGGGATCGCTGACTACGGTCAGTTCTTGAGGAACGTAACTCAGGATGAAGCTGGAAACACGTCTTAAAACGGTGTCCCTCCTTGCAATAGGTGCAAAAAGAACTTAGACCGAGCCCGAGAAGCAGGTGCCAGTGAAGAGGCCATAATAGCATCAATTTAAAGTTTAAGATAATAATCCTTGAACGAAATCCGAATATTTAAAGGAGAGCCCGAAGGTTAATGTAGAAACCCGAAGGTTAAAATGTAAGAACCCGAAAGTTAAATTTGAACCCGAAGGTTATACTAACTGTCAAATCTGAGAAAAAAAAAGCAACCAGCGACCAATGTGACTCAAAGATCGGCCGGATCTGATGCTCACGCCGGAGACCTACAACGGATTAATATCGATGTTGAGACGTTGAGACATCAAGATGGATTGAAACGGCGATGCCGTTACTGACTGTGAAACGGCAATGCTGTTAATTGAGACCGAGAAACGATCTTGAATACGAAAACGCGAAACGCATTAAGAGACCACAAAGCGACAAGACCAAAAATCTGGCAGAGGAACACAAAAAAGCATTTAAACGATTACAAAGCAGCAATGCCAAGATTTGGCAAAAGAACGCAGAAGCATTAAAAAATTTTATTTGAAGGAAAATAATAATAACTCTAGCTCTGATACCATGATAAAGTAAGAGAGAGAGAGAGAGAGAGAGAGAGAGAGAGAGAGAATCTTGGGTAAATTTCCCCTGAGTTGAATATTGAGTGTACACATATATTTATACAAGTAGAGGAGGGTGAGGTGTGTTCTCACAACCAATGTGAGACTAAAACTCACTACAATACACTATTATCAACAACTTAAAAGTGTTAATCATCTTAAGTATATGCTACGGGTGTATGATAACGATCTCGATCTCATGTTGCTTATGAATAATGTATTTATTTACATCTTAATGACATTTTTCTTCTACATGCCCTACCATTTCTTTCTTGCAATATTTCCCTTCATAAAAGAGACGGTGGATTTGGATGGTTGTAGGTGAAAAAAGCCTGTGGTTCTGTGGGTTTTTCCAGCAAACCAACTTGATTGGATTTGGCATAGCATATACTATCACGTCTGCCACTAGCATAAGGTATGATGTCTCGACATTAAACTTATATACCACTTCATTTGATTTCTCAAGCAATTACTTGTAGCTATATTAATCACTGTTTTACTGTTTGCTGTTTACAACAGTATCATGAGTGAAAGTTTAAGAAAAGGGGTTAATTGCAAATACAGCACCTGTAGTTATTTCTTTTGTTTACCGCTCTGTAGTTTCATCGTTGCAGATGGACCCATGAGTTAAATTGTTTTGACTCTTTTATGCCCTTGGTGGAATTTTGGCAGATGTTGCCGCTGGGTGAAAAGAGTCAAAAAAAAAAAAAAAAAAACCAATGGGTCTACCTGCAACAACGGAACTACAGAGACAGTGTGTTCAAAGAATGATAGTAAAAAAAAAAAAAAAAAAAAAAAACCAATGGGTCTACCTGCAACAACGGAACTACAGAGACAGTGTGTTCAAAGAATGATAGTACGGGGGTCTATGAGTGAAGCCCCCTATGTTTGGGGCCACATCGGGAAAACAAAGAGAAACTGGATGGTTTAAATAGTAAATCTAAGGAGCCAAGTATAGCATTGTCTAAGCGATTTTGGCAGTGGTTTGAACTAGACAACGCACTATACTAAGTGATCTCACGACTTACATCGAGCCACTGGGCTTGCAGGCCAATGGCGTGACAAATGGTATCAGAGCAGTTAGCCAACGTGGAGTGTATAGCTAAGTGCTATATGGGGATAAGCGCTACACCACGTGAATATGGTTGAAGCCCCCTCTAGAATCTGCCTAATTTTGGTGGGGTGATTGTGAAGCCCCTAATGTTTAGTCCTTCATCAGGAAAACAAAGAGAAACATGACGGTTTAAATAGTAAGTCTAAGAAGCCAACTATATCATCGGCTAGTCGATTTTGGCAGTGGTTTGAGCCAAACAATGCGCTATATTTAGTGGGTCTCACAGCTTACATTGTGCCAACTAACTCACGGGCCCGTGGCGTGACACTATGTGTAATTAACCCAGAAAACCGCAGCAAATGACATGGCTAGCTAACAAAAAAGCAGTAGTTACTGAAGCAAGTGTTCATGAAGTACACCAAACAAAGAAAACCTATGTAACTAAACAAATTTTCGGTGCACCATATGTTGCATTGGCTCCACAGCAAACCTATTTACAGGTTATTCTGTTGAAACCAGATTGGGGCCGAATCACTAATGGATTGGAATTGAGAAGTTTACATACTAATTTGAGTCAGTCATGTATCTCATGATTCATGTTCCATCTTTAGCATTCAAGTAGCGTCTCCATTCTCTACTTGGACATTGTCGGGCCTTCTATCAATCATTGCCTGCAAGAAGCAGCAATTGCTATATTGCTATATCATGTTGTATTTTTTGTAATTTTTTTAATGAACGTATAGACGCATAACATACATGCATGCATGCATACATGCCTACATGCACACATATGCATGCTACTAGAATAGAGTAAAAACGGGAAAACATAGAAATTGGTGCTTTATTATTAAGCACACATACTTATCTTGTTGAACTTAGACTGATTGCAGCATCAGAGCAAAGGGTATTTTCCATCCTTCAACACCCTTAGCATGTGCACCACTGAAATTGCTCATAGTACCTCCTCTACTTTCAGTTAGTTAAGGTAGCATCATATAATTTCTGCAATTGCGAATATCTCTTAATTTGTTAAAGAAAGAACCCACAAAAGGATTAAGAAGAACGTTCTTCTTGCTTGTTGTGAACTGCAGGGCGATTCTTCAATCGAATTGCTATCACAGAGAAGGGCACGATGCCCCGTGTTCGTATGAAATTACTTCCTCTATGTTGCTGTTTGGTGCTGCTCAGATAATTTTGTCTCAGATTCCAGATTTTCATAACATGGCTTGGCTATCTGTTTTGGCTGCAGTCATGTCCTTCTGTTACTCATTCATTGGATTTGGCCTTGGCATTGCCAAAGTAGTAGGTAACCAATTGTTCATCTTTCTATTATTATCGAGTTGTCTACTGTAAAAAGCATGCATATGCCTTCATATCTTTCATATATATATAGTTTCATGATTACACAAGCATTCTAATGTCTATGAACATCTTTTCTGACTGCGTCTAGGATGTATGAAGACATATATTCCAACTTTACTCTCATAAAGAAAGAATAAGTTACAGATGAAAGTCAATAAGAAAGTACAACTGAAAAATGATGGAGAATTAACGATAAATATAATGCAAACTTTTTGTACACAGGAAATGGGATGATAAAAGGCAGTATTGGAGGGGTCCCAATGCTATCTACAACTCAGAAAGTATGGCGCATCTCTCAGGGACTTGGTGACATAGCATTTGCCTATCCATTCTCAATAATTTTACTAGAAATTCAGGTAATCATTTTATTCATATAGATTATTCAGTTTATTCTAATGAAAAAAAAAGAAAATCCTAAATCATTTTTTACCCTTTTCTTTTTCTGACTAAAGGACACTCTGAAATCGCCACCAGCAGAAAATAGGACCATGAAGAAAGCATCAACAGTATCCATATCCATTACCACATTCTTCTACCTATGTTGTGCATGTTTCGGTTATGCTGCCTTTGGCGATGAAACACCAGGGAACCTTCTTACGGGATTTGGTTTCTATGAGCCCTACTGGCTTATTGATTTTGCTAACGCTTGCATTATTCTTCACCTATTGGGAGGATATCAGGTAAAAGTCTTCCATATTTCAATCAAGGGCTAATTGCAAGTAGAACCCCCGTACCATCACCCAACTGCGGATAGAAACCCCGGTAGCTCTATTGTTGCGGATATGCCCTCTTAGTGCTTTTTGATATCTTCAGTCTTTACGGATGATAAGATGCTAAACTTTCTTCTTATGGTTTACTAGATGTTCAGCCAGCCAGTTTTTGCTATAGTGGACAGATGGTCAGCAGAGAGATTCCCTGACAATGGATTTATGAATGATTCCTACGATATCCAACTCCCATTCTTACCAACCTTCAGACTGAATATACTAAGATTATGCTTCAGAACTCTTTATGTGGTCTTCACAACGGCGGTTGCTATGTTGTTCCCTTACTTCAATGAAGTATTGGGAGTGCTCGGCGCCTTCAACTTTTGGCCTATAGCTATCTATTTCCCAGTGCAAATGTACTCTGCACAAAGGAATATAGTAGCTTGGACAAGGAAATGGGTATTGCTTCAGATTTTCTGCTATGGAATCCTGCTTGTTACTGTATTTGCTTTTGTTGGATCAGTTGAAGGGCTTCTTAGTGAGAAGCTAAGTTGAGGTTTACGTGAAAGAAATTGCTCGATTTAAGAGAGCAAGAAGTGCATGTTGTTGTGTTATTGGTTTTGGTTGTAAAGTAAACGAATGTGTTTTTTCGGACATTTATTCATAGCGAATAATTAGAGAACTATACAGGCATTTCTGAATTTGATGAATTTGAAATAGACGACGCACCATCAAATTTTTATGATGTATAATGGTCAAGATGAAATGTGTTTCACCAAGAACTGCAAAGGGAATCCAGAATAATTCTATTGTTGAAATGTGAAATGCTAATTTCAACTTACAGACAAGAGGTAGTCTGTCTCAGAGTTAAATAATAAAGACGAGCCACAGTGGGGGTAGTACTCTTGAACTTGGAACAGAGGTTTCGTAAGATCTTGTTACGCACCATGAGCAAGAAATTTGTTCAGATCTTCTACGAATAACGTACATCTCCTTATCAAAAATAAGTAGATTGATCAGTTGAATTGTACGTTACTAAAGTTGCACATTATTGAGAATTATCTATGACATGTCACCTTTTACATATTCTTCTTACATGACCTTATGTTATCAAGTCATTCAGTTACACTTGAAATTTGACAAGGATGTGGATATTGTTAAAACTGATTCTTAAGCAAATCAAACTTCATTATGATTTGATCATCATTATACCAAGATCTTAGAACAAAATGATTTTCACAATGAACAATCTAATTAAGAAAATGTACCTTGATCTATGATTGAAACTTGAATAAACTTGAACAACCTTGAAGACTTGAGTTTCTCTCCCTTAACCCTCTTAAGCTTTTCCGAAAATTTCTTGATGGAGAGAAATTTTTCACATTACATCAGGTAGAGAGAGGACCAAGTCTTTTAAAATAGAATAACCACTCACACTCCATCATTGTGAGTAGTTATTTTGACCAATAGGAAATTAGCATAAAACGTGAGTAGTTATAAAACTAAAATAAATCATGACCAATTTCTTAAACTTAAAAAAAAAACGTGAGAGAAAAACGTGGTCACTTAAATTTGGTTAAAACAAAAAACGTGGGCCACTACACTAAAATCTAACATTCTCCCACTTGGCACATGTTTCATAATTTAACATCATGATTTAATAATACAATATAATATGTGTAGTATAAGCTAATTCCGTCATCATATTGATTAAACCATCAATCGTTATTAAGTATAAAACTAATAAGGATCATGACGGTCGTACGTAGTTAAATCGACATAGTCCCTTCCATGTATCAGAACATTAGTTCTAAACTAAACATGATCTGTAATGAGACTTATCATAATGGTCCAACAATAATGCCCTTGTCAGAGACATATCTTGTTAATATTCACATAATCATTCATGTATATACTGACAATAATAAACAGGATGCATTAATATATCAGAAACACTGTTCAGATGAGCTCAAAGTGTCAAATATATAAAGAACATAAACCTTACATAAAAGTCAATGATAATTTTTAATAATGTCCATTCTTTCGACATGTTCAGTAAATGTCTTTGGTGGCAATCCTTTTGTTAACGGATCCGCAACCATGAGATTTGTGCTAATATGTTCAATTGACACTCTTTGTTTCTGAACTTCTTCTTTAACGGCAAAGTATTTTAATTCCATATGTTTAGCACCTTTCGAATGCTTGTCGTTTTTAGAAAATAAGACCGCTGCAGCATTATCACAATGAATTTTCAGCGGCTTGGCAATACTGTCAACAATTCTAAGTCCTGAAATGAAATTCCGCAGCCATAATCCATGAACAGTGGCCTCAAAGCATGTCACGAACTCAGCCTCCATAGTCGATGCAGCAATGACAGACTGCTTCGCACTTTTCCATGAGATCGCTCCTCCAGCTAAAAGGAACAAATAGCCAAATGTGAATTTTCTAGTATCCAAACACCCAACAAAATCTGAATCTGAATATCCAATCACCTCAAGGTGATCAGATCTCCTATAGGTGAGCATATGATCTTTTGTTCCTTGTAAGTATCTCAATACCTTCTTTGCAGCTTTCCAATGATCTAATCCTGGATTACTTTGATATCTACCCAGCATTCCGACAGCAAAACTAATGTCAGGTCTTGTACAAACCTGAGCACACATCAAGCTCCCAACGATGGATGCATAAAGAATTTGTTCTATTTGTTTGTGTTCCAATTCATTCTTTGGACATTGCATAAGACTGAATTTATCCCCTTTCTGAATTGGAACAACAGATGCAGAGTATTTATCCATCTTGAACCTCTCTAGAACTTTATTAATATATGATTTCTGAGACAACCCTAACAATCCTTGTGATCTGTCATGGAATATTTCAATTCCAATCACATAGGATGCCTCACCCATATCTTTCATTTCGAAGTTCTTAGAGAGAAATTTCTTGGTCTCGTGTAACAAGCTAAGATCATTAGTAGCAAGCAAGATATCATCAACATACAGGATAAGAAATATAAACTTGCTCCCACTGATCTTTAGATATATACATCGATCAACGCTGTTTTCTTTAAATCCAAAAGATATGATAGTATCATTAAACTTAAGATATCATTGTCGGGAAGCTTGTTTGAGTCTGTATATTGATCTCTTAAGTTTACACACCATGTGTTACTTTCCTTCAACTGAAAAACCCTCGGGTTGGTCCATGTAAACTTCTTCATCTAAATTTCCATTTAGAAAGGTTGGTCCATGTAAACTTCTTCATCTAAATTTCCATTTAGAAAAGCAGTTTTCACATCCATTTGATGTAACTCTAAATCATAATGAGCTACCATATAAATTTCCATTTAGAAAAGCAGTTTTCACATCCATTTGATGTAACTCTAAATCATAATGAGCTACCATAGCCATAATAATTCTCAATGAATCCTTTTACGAAACAGGAGCAAATGTTTCTTTATAGTCAACGCCATCTTTCTGAGTAAAACCTCTAGCAACGAGTCTAGCATTGTATTGTTCGATATTGCCATTTGAGTCATGTTTGGTCTTAAAGACCCATTTGCACTCAACTCTTTTATAACCTTTAGACAATTCTACAAGATCCCAAACTTCATTATGCTCCATTGATTTTAACCCATCTTTCATGGCATCAAACCATTTATCAGAATTATGGATTTTCATGGCTTGTGAAAATGAAACCGGATCTTCATCAATTCCAAGATCAAATTCTGACTATTGTTGATAAACCACATAATCATTAGGAATATCAGATTTTTTTTCTGTCTTTGAGACCTTCGTAATGCTACTTCTTTATGGGGTATATCTATCGCAGGTTCATTGGTAACAACATCTTCATGGAGTGTTCAATCATTTATTTGTTATTCTTGAAAGTCATTAAACTATTCAATAACTATAGGAACAACAACTTGAGAAGAAGTTAAAGGTAAAGGAATGTTCATTTTAACTTCTTGGATTTTCACTTTATGTGGTTCCATACTCCCACTAATGTCACCATTTTCAACGAACCTGACGTTTCCAGTTTTAACAATTCTTGTACTATGGCTAGGACAATAAAATCTATACCCTTTAGACTTTTCTGGATAACCAATAAAGAAACCATTGGTCGTTCTTGAGTCCAGTTTCTTTTCATGTGGATTATAAATTCGTATTTCTGCAAGACAACCCTAAACATGAAGGTGTCTCAAACTGGGTTTTCTTTCTGTCCACGGTTCAAAAGGTGTTTTTGGAACTGCCTTACTAGGAACCCTGTTTAACAAATATATTGCGGTTTTTAAAGCATATATCCACAATCATAAGGGTAAAGAGGAATAACTCAACATACTCCTAACCATGTCCATTAGTGTACGATTACGCCTTTCTGCAACACCATTTTGTTGTGGTGTACCTGGCATAGTGTATTGAGCACATATGCCACGTTTTTTAAGAAATTTAGCAAATGGACCAGAGCATTGTCCCGTTTCATTATATTTTCCATAAAATTCACCACCTCTATTAGATCTAATAATTTTCACCTTTTTGTCTAATTGTCTTTCAAACTCATTAATAAACACCTCTAGGGCATCTACTGATTGAGATTTTTCATGCCACAAATAGATGTATCCATAACGTGAAAATCATCAATAAAGGTGATAAAATATATTTCTTTATTAAAGGATGGAACATCAAAAGGTCCACATATATCGGTGTGTATAATTTCAAGGAGCTGAGTGCTTCTTGTGGCGGCTTTCTTACTTGTATGATTTGTATGTTTTCCTTTAATACAATCCACACAAATACCAAGATCCGTAAAATCCAAATTGGGAAGGATTTTATTCTTTACCAATCTTTGTATTCTTTCTTTGGAAATGTGTCCCAAACATTTATGCCATAAATAAGCTGAACTTTCATCCACTAAACTTCGTTTAGTTCCAACATTATGATGCAAGGTTAACAGAGTTTCAGCAAAAAGATTATCAAGCTTTAATTTGTATAAGCCATCAGAAAGAATACCAGAACCAATAAAATGATTATACTTAAACAAACTGAAACATCCATTTCCAAATTTAAAAGAGTAACCAGCGGTATCAAGTTTAGACAAAGAAACTAAGTTGCGAGAAACAGCAGGTACATAAAGAGTTTGAAAAAGATCTAAATGATGTCCAGTGTCTAAAATCAAGCGATAGGTTCCGATGTCCTCAACTGGAGCTTTGACTCTATTTCCCATGAAGATGAAATTTTCATTTGGACTTATGGTTTGGGTCGTAAGGAATCTCTGCATCGTATTTGAAACATGAGTGATAGAACCAGAATCAATCCACCAAGTATTATAAGGAACTTCTGTCAAGTTTGATTCGAAACATGCAAAAACAAGAGGTTTACCTTTCTTTTCGAACCATGCCTTACGTTTTAGGCAATCTTTCTGATAGTGTCCAGGCTTTTTACAGAAATGGCACTTATCATTCTTACGTTCCTTCTTGTGGATTTGGACATGTGACTCATTAGCCTTCAGTGGTCCTTTCTTGCCCTTTTGATTATACTTTCCTGGTTTCTTTCCAGCTCCTTGATGACCCATGAGATTAATTGAGTGAATTCTTTATTTCTTAAGCCTTGCTTCCTCTTGAATGAGCATACTTTGCAATTCAGTCACATTACACTTATCTTTTATAGTATTATAGTTTATTTGGAATGGACCATACTCAGAAGGCAAGGAGTTTATAATAAATTGTACAAGGAAACTTTCACTCACTTCCATTCCCATAGATCTCAATCTTGTTGATG